ACTAAAAATTGTTTTGCAGTTTTATCAAAAAAAAAAAAAATTTTTTTGTTTTGCCGTGGTTTAAACAGATGGTAAAATTTGGCAGTGTGCTGTCTCAAATTGTAAAGGAGAAAAACAAAGACAAGAAAAAACAGCACACAAAGCGCCCATGGCCTAATGGATAAGGCGCCTGACTTCTAATCAGGCGATTGTGGGTTCGAGTCCCACTGGGCGTGTGCAATGAATACCTTTTTGCCAAACCAAACGCCGCGCAACAAAAAAAAAAAAAAAAAAAAAAAACACTCTGCCCATTTGTCTAATTATTACTGTTATTATTTTTTGCCAAAGATGGCGTTTGAAATAGTTAAGAAATTTAGTTTTTAAATTTAAAATTTTCAAACAAATGAGAAGGGATAGATAAGGAAAAATTATTCTCTATTATATAATTTGTCATCTATTGTATCAAAAATTACTTTAAAAAAAAAGAGGAAAATGTTGTCTCTAATTGAAGATATGAATGGCTACTTTCGATTTTAATTGTAACTGAAATTAAAATTACTAGTTAACTATATGTTTGGGTATGAAATTTTAATAATCATTCACTAAACCAAAATAACAATTTTATTGGTTTTAGTTAACTTTATGAAGATAACCATTTAGTTTGTTTTAATTTCAACCAAAAAAATTAGTCCTTGTTGTAAAATAAAGAAAACAAGTAGAAGAATAATGTAAAATAGGAAAATAAAAAAGAGGCAGAGAGACTATAAAAAGATTGTTATTTTTATTCATTCTTCCATCCGAATCTTTTCTGCATAACAACAAGCCCTATATATAGTGTAGTAAAGTGGTAGAAATTACAAGAATTACAACACAAGTGTTAATCACCTAAGAAATAAGAATAAAACACCATCTAAATGCTTGAGAAAGTTTGGGTGTTGATGGCACTTGTAAATACATGAGATTATAGTGTTAATTACCATTATAATTATATGGAGGTACGTAGTGGGAGTTACACTATTATTTGATATGTAAATGACATGAAAAATGGGGAGGTAGAAGATAATAAAAGTGAACATCCAAGGGGGTATTATGAATCAATTGATTCGTGAATGTTTCATCTTCCTCATCTTCCACATCCCCACTTTCATTGAGTAAAACTTATAACAAATCAAGCAAATACTTGGAGATATGTGATTGGCATATAAATTGCTTAAATATATTAAAATATCTAATCACTACTCATCCATGTCAAATCCATTGAAAAAACTCTGAGAATCTTTGCCAACTTATTTTGCAAGTCCTTTTATCTTTGCAAAGTTTCATTTTCACGACAATATTCATAGCAACAATTATCATAAAATGTTATATTCATATGGTTAAAATTGTATTTTGGTCTCTCTACTTTAACAAAAGTCTCATTTTAATCCCTTTACTTAAAAAAGCCCTGTTTTAGTCCCTTTACTTAAAAAAACCCCTTTTTAGTCCCTAAACTTTATTATTTGATCTTTTTTTAGTCCTTTTGTTATCTTTTTACACATATGGTATGTTAGATGATGAAAATATCAAAGAAAAGAAACTAAAAATTAAGGGGCTTTTTCTAAAGTTGAGGGACAAAAAATGGGCTTTATTTAATCCCTTTCTAGTTATTCTACTTTGAAATGTTCATTATCTAACGTGCCATGTGCGCAAAAAGATAATGGAATGACTAAAAAAGACCCAGATAATAAACTTTAGGGACTAAAAAGAGACTTTTTTTAAAGTAAATGAACTAAAATGGAGCTTTTCATTAAAGTTGAATCAAAATAGGATTTTAACCTATTCACATCAAGAAATGAAATCAAACTGGTGGATGTGGTCGTTGATTTTTGGCCAAAATTTTATAATTTTGTTTGCAACAAAAGACAAGTATTTACTTTGAATATATATTTTTAAATTGCTTTCTCAAGATTGCTACTTTTTTAACATATTCAAAACATGAAAAAAAGGAATATATCTTTTTTAATATGTCTTCATCAATAATCTCTTCTTCCATATGAAATAAGTCAAAATATTTACAAATTTATACTGAAGTAATAAATGAATCCTTCAATAGCTAGGTCTTGAAAGAATTGTAATTTTCTTTTGGATGATCATCTTTCTTCTAAACAATTCCATGATTCCAATGAATCATTTATCATCAAATGTTCATCTTTTAATTCTTTTTGGACTTCATATTGAAGATGTATCATTTTGTCATAATCCTTCAAGGATGCTCCTTTTTTTTCTCTTCAAAAATATTTTGTTTTTAAAGGATATTTTATTTCCTTCCATAATTGAATATTCAAGATTCATTGTAAGTAAATGAATTTTCACATCA